GGTGGGCTTTAATCTTTCACATAATACGCTTGATACAACCTTATACGCGATGTTAAGGGGGCTTATCCAACGGCGCACGGCGCAGATTGTGAGAGGGCACTTGTGAGAGTTTGAATAGCTCGGTCGGTAATCCATCGGCTCCCTTTGCTTTGTTGTTCTTCAGACGGGTAATTGCTATTCGTACTTCTTCATGGTCGGGCAATCTTCAGCGATTGGGCGTTGTGCGTTCACTGCCATTCAGCAGGCTGGAGAAGTGTTCCCTCCATAATTAAAGTATGCTGCGGGCAACGGTCACTAGATCACTTTTGGGGGTTCTACAAGAGTATGCCCCGCTCTTTAAACCTTCAGTTAGACGCCGCATCTTTTCGTAGAATTTTCGAGCATTACCCCTGTCGACCAGCTTATCAAGCTCTTCATACTCACGTTTTTCGGCCTCTTTCTTTTTCTGTCTTCAAATGCGTTTCGCTTCCCTCTTCAACTCTCGGTATTTATCCCATCTCTGCAACACGGTACTCCTCGTCGTACCAGCTGTTCCTTTGCATTTTCCGAAATCCAATGGTTTCGGATGCAGCTGTAGTACGTAAGGAGTTTGAAATGCCCTCCCACAGTTCYCTTATACCGAGTTGTTGACGAGTGCCAGAGAGCAGGAATGCCAGTCGGGTAGAAAATCGTTCGGCTGTCTGTTGCGATTGCAGCTTCTCGACGCCGAACCTTCCTTGTGTTAGTTGGCGTGCTTTTTTTGCTGCACAGAGACGGGTGCGAATCTTGGCTGCAGCAAGATAGTGGTCCGAGTCGATGTTAGGACCTCGGAGCGCACGCACATCTAAAACACTGGAGTCGTGTCTTCCGTCTATCACAACATGACCGATCTGGTTGGTGGTTTTTCGATCCGGAGGCAGCCAGGTAACTTGATGTGTTTTCTTATGCTGGAATCTAGTACTACATATAACCATATTTCGAGACCCGGCGAGTCGATCAGCCTCAACGCATTTGGGGATGTTTCCTCGTGGATGCAGAATTTACCGACCGTCTTGCCAAAGATACCTTCTTTGCCCAAACTGCCGTTAAAGTCGCCAAGCATGATTTTGACATCGTGACGGGGGCATATTTTCGTGCCCCGAGCGCTCATAATAGGTATCTTTGGTCACACGTCCTTCTCTTCCGTCGGGGCGTGAGCGCAAATCAGCAATATGTTGAAAAACCCCGCTTTGATGCCGATTGTGGCTAGACATTCATTCACCGGAATGAATGATAGTACTCGGCGACGGAGTCTCTCTCCCACCACGAATCCCACACCAAACTTGCGCCCCTCTATAAGGCCACTGTAGCAAATGCCACTAGGACCTATTGTCTCAGTCCTTGTCGCGACAACGATTATCACCGACGGCCTTTTCCAACATTCTGAATTGGCACCAGAAAATTGATTCCGCACACAAAATTTAGTGTAACTTCTTGGTTGAATAATATCAATCTTGTCATGTCATGACTTTCTGTACTTCAGAAAGACAAGCTTAAACTAATAATTATTTTGATGTGACATTTGGCACATAGTTACTGACAGTCATACCAACCTAGAAGATAAATATTTCGAAAAATGGGTTTTCGCACGATTTACAATTTTTACTTCAAACCATGAGTGAATAGTGTCCAGCTGCTTTGTGTATTAAGGGGTTAGGGGTAGTCAGAGGCACGAAAAAATTAAAATTTTCAGTTTTTTTTGCATTAAAGTCACGAAAATTTCAAAAAAAAAAATTAAATTTCCAAAGTTATAGTTGTTTGTGTTGACCTAGTTCCAAAAACCGGTACTTGGGGTGGCAACTATAACTACTTGGAGATTCATCTAAAATCAGTCGAATAAAAAAAAATTAGTTTTATAAATAGATAAACTCGGGCCTGAACGAAGGAGTTTTTTTTTTCAAAAATTAACAAAATGGCGGCCTCAGAAATTTTTTAATATCTTTTGGGAAAAAATCAGCACTTCATTGGTCTTAAAAAATTTTACCTTTTGAAAAAAAAAATCCTTCGATCAGGCCTTAGTTTATTATGTATTTTAAAAGCTGTATAAATTTCATTAAAATCTGCTGAGCGGTTTTCGAGTTACAGTTGTCACCAATTCAAAAAACATAGTTTTGAGAAAAACGCGTTTAAAGTTTCACACTAGCGCTTTGAAGTGCCCGATCTCTCCCTTTATTATTTGTCGAATAACTCAAAAACTAATTATCGGATCAACACGAAATTTTCAGAAAATATTTTTAAGATATTACATTTAACGATAAACGAAGAATTTTGCTTTATGTATGAAAGTGCATGTATATGTATATTTCGTTATGAAAATAAGTATTTAAGGAAGGAATGGTTTTCTTTTAAGCTACGATATTTAAAGAAACGGCCTTTGGCGATGTCGTGAGCATACTCCGATTTGGTGAAGCCTTCTACTTTACACATTTTCCAAAAAAATTTTAAACTGTATGTAATTATAAATTTCCTTCAATGATAAAAACATGTAAAACTTACCAAATAGTAACGCATTAAAGTGTTTAACTTTGTTCATTTTTAATTAATCTTCTCATATGCATTTTCGAGTATATTCTTTTTTTTTTTATTCAGAGCTTAAACGCAAAATTAAACAAAATATTTAATTAAAATAGCAGGCCACTTAAACACAACCAACTTTCTGCAAATTTTCTTCTGCTTGACGATTTGACGAAATAATGGAAATAATTACTTATAAATTTTATTTCATCAACTTGTATTTGTTGTTTCCATATTGTTTTGTAAGTACATGAACTTCTTGATGGTAAATATGAACACTGTAGAATTTAACTGCATAGCTTACTTATATGCATTACCAAGTATCGAAGAATTCTAAATAGAATTTTCTTCGAAGCATTTTTCAAAGGTAAATGTAAGCGATGAACCATTTTAACGTTGGGAATTTATATGGACCCGACGGAAATGCCACAGTGCGTCGTAGGGAATTGGAGCGTAAAGTATTCTCCCTATTTAATGGAGTGGGGGGCTATAACCGAGTTTGGTGTTGGGTAGCTTATTATTCCAAAAATATCTGTGAATTCCGAAAAATACATTGGAATTTTTAGACAAGGCGTTTTGCCAACTATTGAACAGCTGTCCGAACATACAGTAAAAGTTTATTTTCTGGACGATTCAGCCCTTTTCCACAGAACCACAACGATAACTAAAGCATAAAAATATTGAAATACATTTTTCAGTAATTCATTACAAACACTTACAGGTAACAAAACAAAAAGAGTTCTATAGAATTGAGTCTCTCACGTGGCCAGAAAACAGTCCAGACTCAATCCAATTGACAACTTCTGGCATTATATGGCAAAAGGATAAAAGAAAAGCGTCCCAAAAGTCTAAAAGAAATGGAAAAAATTATTGAAGCTGTGTGAAATGAAGAAATTAACAAAAATTATCTTAAATATTTGTTTGAACCCATGCCTAAACGAATAGCCGAGGTTATTAGTAGGAGGGAGGGGGGTTCTCCAAAAAATAAGAAAATTGTTGTCCAAAAAATGTTATTTTGATTTATTATGCATTCTATTGCTAAATAAAGATCATTTAAAACATAAAATATGTAAGTAAATACCTTGTTCAAAATTTAGATTATTGTCCATAACAAATTTTTAGTCTGGGGTTTGTTATGTGTGTGTATTTACATTTTTCACTGAAACAAGTTTTAAACTATATATTTTGTTATATATGTTATGTTTTTTTGTTTATATAAAAATGCGTGGAACATGAACTAAATAAAAGTGTCTGACTCTCAAAGAAAAATGTTTAACTTAGGACAATATGTATCTTGAGCTATTGAGCTTCTTTTCGCCGAGTGTACATATGTATGTATATGCTAAATCGACTCAGCTCGTCACGCTGACCATTTATACATATTTATTTTCTTGACCTCACAATTTGCGAATGAATCGTACAATTATAATTTTTTCTCAACCGCATGAGATACCTTGCAAACCAGCATTGATTGCCCAAGTCACAAGTTAAAATACAAAATTTTAATTTGGGACAGGCAATGGAGTTTTGAAATTTTGTGCAAAAGTAAAATAATTAATTCCCCATTTATGTAAATATTTCAAAAATCACTGCCGCTATCTCAGACGTTGAATTTGATGAAAGTCGATTTATAGCCACGCCCTTTGTCCAAATTACTGTTATTATTGCTATACTATACACAGTATGTTTACTGCGCTTCATCAGGATAGCACACTTCGAAACTAATAAAGCTACAATTCTAAAATTATTAGCGATTATTAATGAATAATTTTAATACCAAATAAAATAACAATTAGCACACCCAACTCTTTATTTATACGAAATAAGTGAAAAAACAGTGTAAAAAAGAGGCGTTTCCTTCAGTAAAATGGGAGATACGTTCCATGTAATCTGAAAACTATGTATGATGAAATAAAGAACTATATTTACTTCGAAATACCGTGTAAAAAATGTTGAAATCTATAAAATTTCAGATATGCATACAAATTGTATGTTCATATGGCATTTTATTGAGCATTACAACTTAAAATGCATAATTCATACAGGTGAAAAATTGGTAGAGCAAGCAAAAAACGAAACGAGAAATCTGTTAATTCAGAATTAAAAACAGAAAAGTTAGAATAGAAATAAGGAAAAAATATTTACATAGCTACATAATTATTCGTCGCTACTTGATAACAAGCGCAATTGTTTGCGGCGAACTGGACTAAAGTCGATATCATTTCTGGAGATATCCATTTCAGCAATGTAAATATCATGCGACAAAATCTGTAGGTAATATCGAATAAGTGGATTTCCCAGTTACTACTATGAATGTCCATTTCAATAATGGTGCAATGGTACAAAGTGTGGTAAATACAAACATAATTACAAGACAGTGGTTTTGAAACCGTACTAAATTTTTTTTTTTTCAACCGTGTTACTTCTAATCCGTGTCAAAAGAAACCATGTAAAAAAAGAGTTGAGTGTACTTTATCTTTTTACCATATTTTTAATAGTAGCATTACAATAAAAGGTTTAAAGTTAGGTTACATTTCATAGCACATTTTATAATTTGTATTAGCTAATTTAAACTTCTGTATATTATTTAATAATGAGCAATCCCGCCTTGCTAAGAATGATTTACCCGATTGGGTAGCGATTCGTACAATTTTCAATATAATTTATAATTCCTCTTTAGTGAAATACTGCAGGTCAGACTCCACACAGCACTTCTATTCCATTGATGCGTAAGGTACCCACTTCATTAAATCGCCTTCTGTTATTCAATCCTATTCATAAATATCCGGACAGTGCGAATTTTGCAGTTCGCACATACCTTATTAGAAGATGGCTCCAAATATGCTCACACCGCACGTATGACTATGTAGTCGTTACAGCTTATGTTCCTCCTTCCGCAGATCTTAGAAATAATAATCGACCCTTCCAAAATTTGTTTGTTGTTCTGAAAATACAACATAGTTTCAATCAGACTTTAAGGCCATATGCAAAATGTAATCATGCTTATTTTCGGTAGTTTTTTGTTGAAAAAATGTTTCAAATATGCAGCATTCGTTAGCACTCTTACTCATAGTAGATAAGCTCACTTCAACACCCATATTTGCGCGGATTTTGGCTTTCGATTCATGCTTTTCTCAAAGTTCTTGCTTTTTTTTCATGAAATATGAAAAAATTAGAAAACAAAAAAATATGTTCCATAACTGTATGTATGTTGAAAAGAGCGGATTTTTCGATAAGAGCGCTACAAAATTTTTTTTTTAATAAAACAAGCGGTTTCAGATATCAATAAACTTCTTTATTCCTGTAAAAATACATTCATACGTACTAAATAAGCCCCAGTCGTGCGATTTGTCGCCGTTAGACTATTTCCTCTGGCGCTACATCAATTGTATGACCTTTGTACGAATATCGAACGTGAAATTGCAGCAGTATCGGCTGATTTATGCTTGAAAACCGTCAAAAATTGGGTTCTGGCAAGCGTACCCGTGGTGGCCATGCAAAAGAAATCGAGTTCCATACATAATGGAATCGAATGCACTTTCACAGAAACAAAGAATTTCATTGATATCCTAAACCGTATTTGAGTTATAAAAAAAAAAGAAATGCTGTAGCGCTCTTATTGAAAAACCCTATATTTATTGCAAATCATAATGCACAATACATAAAAAATAGGCTATTACACATGTATCAATATTTTATAAAATACAAATTGAATACAGCTCAAAACAGTACAGTGCGAAAAATTCACCTTCTTTTCACACACATTTCAGATTCGGAGTTGGTACTTAAATTTATGGTGTGAATATTGATAATAACATCACATAACTTCACACACTGGAGATATTTTTATTATGCTATCACAATGACTTTTACTTTTCGCTTACCTAATTAATATATAATTTTTAATGATTTATATCCTCTTTTTGCTTATTTTCAGGAAACGTATCCATCCTCGCCGCCCGTTTGGTTTGCAGAGAGTGAAGAGACGAGCGTAACAAATGCCGTACAAATACTTAGCAATACGAATGGACGTGATAATCATGTTATAAATCAGGTGAGTGAACTTTGTAGCGAATTTACACCGACCACCACTATCGCCTAGTTAAACATCATGGTCACAGCTGTACCACCGGCAAAGCAAATGATTTTATATACACAAACATATAAATATGCTTGTATGTAGTGTGTAGAATATAGAGTAGAGTCCATTAGTAATAGTCTAACAGCAAAATCAACATTATTGCGTTGGTGTTTAATCTACTTTTTCTTATTTAATTCGTGCGTTTGTTTGTTTGTTTTATCAGTTTGGTGTACTCGTCGCTTGACGCTTTTGTAATGAATTTATGCACCTGTTGTTTACCCTTGTTTCTTGGTTCGTCCGTAGGTTGGCATATTACTACGTGAACTGTGCCGCCTGCACAATGTCCCACTGCCACCCGATATCGATAACCTCACAATACCGTTTCAATTGCCACCCCCAAGTGCGTCACCATTGCATCAGCAGCCGGCAGCGCAGCATCAGATCGAGGACATCGATTCGGATCAAGATGATGTAGAAGATCTTATATGCGAAAGCGAACAGGAGAGTGAGGGCGACGAGGATCTACCATTGGAAATGGACGACGGACGCAGCGCGAATAAAGTTGAGGTAATTTTACACAAATACAATAAAATATTTACATGAATGCACTTTACTGACTTTTTTGTTGGGCAGAAGGATGAAATGGAAGTGGAACATCTGGCCACATTAGAAAGACTACGACAAAGTCAAAGACAAGACTATTTAAAGGTGAGTTGAATTTATATGTATCAGTATAAGTATATACACATGTATTTCTATACATTATATACATATATACATTTTGTTCCGAAGTAAATAGGACTTTTTGAATGTAGCGCCGCCTGGTGGCGCCATCTATATGTCTATTGGTGTGTTAGAATCTGCTATCTTTATCGATTGTCCAGTGAGAGTTTAATGACATTTCATCGTTTGAAAGTGAAGTTATTGCGTTTTAAGTGTCAGTATGTTTGTGTTATCGGTGTGAAAATGAGCTTCGAACAAAGAGCCAACATTAAATTTAGTTTTAAAATTGGTAAAACTTTTACCGAAACGTTTCAATTAATGAAACAAGTTTATGGCGATCATCGCGTAGCAGAGTGCACGAGTGGTTTCAACGTTTCCAATGTGATCGTGAGGACATAAATGACGATTAGCATGTGGCCCAAACAAAATCCATGGTCAACGGAAATTCCATCGAAACTGTGCGTGAATTCATCAAAAATCAGCCGAAATCATCATTGAAATTCATGGAAATGGTATTGAAAATCTCCAAAACATCGATTTATCGCATTTTGACCGAACATTTGGGCTAAAGAAAGGTGTGTGTACGGTTTGTTCCGCACAAATTGACTAATGACCAAAAATTGCTCAGAAACCAACATTCTGATCGACACTTGTGACCGATTATGTTACCAAAAATCACATTTTATTAACCACTCCCCATATTCACCTGATATGGCACCGTGCGACTTCTTCCTTTTCGGAAAATTTTATTTGTCCATGAAAGGAAAGCGTTATGCTGACACAGAGGCCATTCAAAAGGCTTGCATCGACATACTGGCGGCCATACCGGCCAACCAGCTAAAACACCCGTTCGACATGCTTTTGGACCGTGCAAAAAGCTGTATTGAAGCAGAAGGAGACTATTTTGTGTAAAATAACTTGATTGATCGAAAAAACTATATTTTTTTTAAGTCCTATTTACTTTGCAACATACCTTGTATGTACTTTGTATCTTTAGCAAATCAGCAAATACGAGGATGTCTGCTAACGAATAACATATAATTGACTATGCTAAAAGTGACTATAAAAGAGATTGAGAATATTTGTAGAATAGCTGAGTAGCTTCGCCATATCCCAACGTCTGAATATAAATCAGTCTCCTCCCTTTACTGAAATCGTTTTCTTTTTATCGGTAGTACCTACTATGCATTAAAACAATAAGTTTATAATATTTTTATAACCAGTGCATTATAATTTTCTACAAAGCTGATTCATTTTGCCAATAAGAACGTTTAGCTATTATATGATATTAGACTTTGTCTAACCCAATTCTATTTTATTATATTATCAAAAATAATAACAGTTATGTTGTTTTCTAGTGAGTAATATACAGCAATTGAATTTTATTTTATGGTCTAATGTTACCTTTACAATTTATCCATAATGTGATGAAACAGGATCGTTTTGATTTCATAGACCAAGCTGTTTTAAAAACGGACTTTCTTTTTATGACTTTTATTAGCTTCACCTGTTATATATGTACATGTTTAAGACAGACTCATTTGGACTCGATTTTGACCCACTTTAAATGAACAGATTCAATATAATCTTATAAAGAATACCGGAATTAAACATTTTCCTTACACAATCTTTGTATGAGAGCAAATGAGACAATCGCACCGTATTAATAAATATAGTTTTAGAAATCCCTAAAAAGTACACTTTTACAAAATATCTAACAAAAATAAAAAGCCCCGTCGGCCTATTAACATTTCAAAATTATCGTGAGCAAATTCACAGAAATCCACCAGTATAAACTTCTACTCTACATTTATTTTTTTTAAATGGACAATGATTACGATGAAAATTATCAGAATCAACCAAATCAATTACCACATACAGTCGTGTTATTGTTTTTTTTTTTCCAAAACACGAAAACGATAAAAACTTGTTTACTGGATGGACAAAATGGAATATGAAATACCCAACAGTAGAGCAAAGCAACTTTATTGAAAACTAGAGGTTTAGCCTACAAGGATTTCTTTATTGGCCGTTAAAGCCATTAAAGTTAATGATTGTTCCGGTGAAACTTGGATACGTTTTGTGTTGGTAGTAGAAAATTTCTTAGGTATAGGGGAGTTACCACTAAATTCTTGTGCAAAATATGCTATCAAACTTTAAGGCTGTAAGAGCAAATATGAGTATCAGATAGGGTAATCTCGGATCATTTATGGAAGTTATACTGAGGAACAGAGATAGTGGTTCCACCAAGATTTAAAAGTTAGTGGCTTAAAAGCTATAAAAAATTACTGCTGGTTCTTAAAAAGAGAGGCAGAATAACATAAAAGCCGTTTAATTAATTATCCAAAACAAAAGTGTCATTAGTGTTCATATATGTATGTTATTTTGTTTCGTGTTTTTCAATGTTTAATAAATATTTAAACTAATCTACCGAAAACTACGTTTTTATACTCTCGCAACAAAGTTGCTAAAGAGAGTATTATAGTTTTGTTCACACGGTTGTTTGTAAGTCCTAAAACTAAAAGAGTCAGATATAGGGTTATATATACCAAAGTGATCAGGGTGACGAGTAGAGTTGAAATC